GTCCTAGCAAAATGACGTTTCCATTTTTTTTATAGATCAACTGCACTTACATTTTGCAAATTTCATTGGTAGTTGGAAGTTTTAACGTTACTTTTTCCAGTGCTACTCTTTAGTATTGAAAAGTACAGAGGAAATAAATTGTACTTTGATCAAAGTTAAAGAAGAATGTTTATATTTTTATCAAGATTAGTGTGTACATGGTATTTCTCTGTATCAGTAAAAAGATGTTAGGTTGTACTTATATCTGAACAGAAATGACCCAAAAAAACTTGCTCTGTCATTTCCGAAACAATTTTTACCAAATTTGGTCATCCATCATGAAAACGCACCATTATTGAAGATGGGCAGATAGATAACGCTTTAATAGCCCGCGCAAAACAGACATAGGTCACAGGTCAGATAGGTCGCTAACCTTTTGTTCTTATTTTAGATGTCCTATCAACGTGCTGCATCTTTTATTAGGGATGGTTCAACCTTAGGGAATATCCATTGATTATGTTGGGGGAAGAAGCCATGCTGTCATAGCTACCCAGTCAACTGTATCTGACTGAATGGATGGATGAAAGTATTGTGTCTTATGACACAGCCATCCCTCCCATAGGCTTATAAGACACCACAATCAGAGGCATACAATTTTTCAATTGTAAAATGTTAAAATAAGACTACTAACTCTAGAAAAGGGGTAGAGGTACTGAAGTTTATAAGCAGTAGATAATAGTAAATCAAGGCATGACTACTATGGTGACAATGATCCTCCAAATGGTACAGTAAGATTGAATGTGACTATCTAAATGTGGGTTTTGTTTCTTTGAGCCTTTATTTATTAATACGAAAAACTCAAATTGGCCTGCAGACCACTTTTCATTGAGGTCACGAGGAAAGAGGTAAGGGTCAGACGAAAGATAGCAAGACACAGGTTACATGATTAGAGTCCTTATAAATCCGTATATTGTACAATATATGGGACCCAAAATATTGTTTCTTCCATTTAACTACAAATGGCAAATAGCAAAATGGTACTTTGCTCTGTGAATAGTTTTATCAGGTTGGTAAGTCACTCCACTTTCTAAATGACACTTATTTCCAGTATGTTGGGTCAAAACAACTTTGTGAAGAAATGACCACAGAAAATTTACTTTTTGTATCAGTCTCATGTTACATAATGCGACTTTAATACGTAGCTGGCAGAAGGTGCAAACATCAAAGACGCTCACTTCCTACAGCGAGATCTAATTACAGATTTCCATCGGATTCCTGAGACCGGCGACGGCCAGGTTAACTTCACACCCCTGGGAGCCCCGTGGGCCGAACCGATAAACCTGCGACCAAGGTCAAACAAAATGGACGGCTATTCTTTAGAACTGGTGACTTTATTTACCAATCAACGCGTTCCATCGGGTAGCAAATGGAAGCTGTCGCTTTGATCATTGCATCCTCTTTATTGGGACGGAAAGTCGTCTGCCGCCCGTGTAAGATGAATTGCCCTTCTCCTGGTAACAAACAGCTTTGACTAACCAAGGTCGTATATCACCAAAAAACTACAGGTAGATAGTAGGAAAGTTTATTCTTTCAACCTCAGTGAACTAAGTGTGCTGTTAAGAAAACTAAGTCTTGAAAACTTTAAAGCATTTAACATATGATAGATCTATGTTTAGGCGTCAGACATGTACTTAGATTAAAAACATATCTACAGTAATTGGGTTAGAATATTTTCAGTACAAAACTGATATGAGATATCTCAGACTTACTAAACAGGGTAATTTTTCAAACAATTTCAGGTACATGTATGTGTAAAATAAAGAGAACACTGGCTGTTAACAGAGGTGAACAAAATGTGTTCTCATGTGATTTGCTGCACGGTCATATAGACATTGGTCATCTGTCAAATTTGTGCACCCTGCTTGCACAAGATGATATCTGCAGCCCCCCCACCCCCACGCAAGGCTGTTCCAAATCATGTTAGTCACATTGATCTTGTACTTCCCACTCACTATGTACTGCCTGGCCTCACAGATCATACATGGGATGCAGTCACAGTCAGGCCACACCAATTTGATTTCTCAATTTTGACACTTTTTGCACCCAAAAAATTGTGTAACGTTACATTCACCTAACCAAAAATTCCATTCTTGCTCATTCTTTGTGGACAAAAAGTATCTTCTAGAAAGAAAACTATTCTGTAAAAGTCCTAGAACGAGCTCCTCAAAGCAAGACTATATCTTGCAGAAAAAAGCCTAGAATACAACTGTATATTTCTTAAAAGGTTCTTGTAGATACTAATAACATTGTGATGATGAATTGGTTGATGATTAACTCAAAGAATTCTACCGGGGACCCTAGTATGTACAGGGTATCCTCAGGGTATCTGATATCCAGATGTTCAAGACATTCTTGAACAGGCCTTGATGACATTGCTTTTTAAAATAGTGGCAGAGTACCAAGAATTGTTACAACAGTCAACATTTGACCTTTTTTTTTCATTTATAGTTACCCTGTTGGTGTCTGCATGAAAGAACTCTTACTATTGACTTTTACCATACACACAGCTGTGCACTTTTCTATAGATTCTACTTCCAATACAAGACAGCCGTGCCCTCCAGACAAATAGGTCTACAGTAACTAGCCTTTAGCTCAAACCTGAGACACTATTAATCACAGAGCTACTTTATTGAAGATGACTGTGTGATAAAAGGTTTATGTCACATGGGAATGAGCTCTGTAAGTTATTGTCATCATTGGCAAACTTCAACATCAGAATTGGTATTGTATACTCATATCCTTGAATGTATATTACTACTAGTGAGAGAAACCTTTGAGAAAGGTTTATTACTAAGGCATTTGACCAAGAGCCAAAGATGTTTTCATCAGAATACAGTGATATTTTCAGCTTTTACTTTTTGTACGAGATTGCCTATATCTCACAGTGTTACTATTTTGTACATTATAGTCTTGAGACTAACATGTAAAGGCCTTGGAAAGTGGTATCTGCAATCACAAGTTCATCATAGAGTGAACCATTTTGTAACTTGGTCTTGGTAGTTGTGCAGCCTTATTAAAACTGCTTATTGTACCCACAATAATGGAATTCCTAGGTAACAAAATTTTCAAAGTAGCTATCAGTCCCTGAACATAGTCTCCAGGCAAGTGTGTGTGTGTGTGTGTGTGTGTGTGTGTGTGTGTGTGTGTGTGTGTGTGTGTGTGTGTGTGTGTGTGTGTGTGTGTGTGTGTGTGTGTGTGTGTGTGTGTGTGTGTATTTACATGACGTACATGCCAAGTTATGAGCATGTTGGATTTGATTCCGAACCTGATTTTATTTTTGCAAATCAGAAAAAAAATGAAGCACGCAAATCCAAGCATCAAGCAGTTAAAGTAGAGTGGCTTGACCAGATAAAAATGAATCACAAACTGTTGATCATATAAGCAAAAAAAAATGCAATTTTTATATATCAGAATATTAACATGGTCTTTTGGAGAATCTCTAAATTTTTGTATGAATAAGAATGTCAAGGTTTTATTATTTTCTGGTTGCTATTTCTGTATTGACTGTAATATTAACTCATTTGTTATGATTGGCATCTCTATTGAATCATAGAAATGTCATCTCAAGGTAGTATCTGTACTGTTCTTAACATCATACATCAAAACAGCAAGGCCAAAAAGGACATCACATCCCAGACTGTGCAATCAACTTATTAATCATAATTAGGTGTATTGGAGATATTGACATGGATAAGAGATGGCCTGCACATGTGGTAAAACTGAAGGTCAACTTATGAATAAATCATTACTGCCTGTCAATTGTAATAAAATAACCTTCTCTGTATCAGTTTTAATGTTTCTGGTATAGAGGGTGAAATACAAGATTTGGGTCTGAATTGAGAAGTATTATCATATTTTTCAAAGGATAACAATACTAATATTATGACATGCATACATTTGTACATGTAAATGTATATAGATAGTGAGTTTAGGTATCCAACATCTGGAACTACATGTACACTGGACATTTGGTACTTGTCCTAATTCTATTTTTGGTTTGTATCAAAATGAGCCTTAAAAATTCACCATTTTGGTGAAAACACATTGAAGAAGGTGAATCATATTCCCAAATCAAGACTACATTGGCATTCATTGATAGGACTACATCTGGGACTGTTTGTTGTCATTATATCGGCATGTTCTGACATGCCTGAGATAATTTTGGCTCTGATGTCATCAGCATGACTTTTATGACATCCTTGGGTGGGGTCTGGTGACCTCCCATCTATAATTGAAGACAGACACACCCATTTGACTCCTAGCCAAGTTATGAACATAAAGTTAACATCAAAATACCAAAAAAATTAACAATAAGTCTTTATTTCAGGATTTGATCAACATATTTTCCAACTCATTGAAGTTGCTGATGTTTCATACAGACATGTTTTGTGTTCTTATTTCATAGTTTTTTTATGATGATGCATTTAACCTTCATGATGATTTTAACTTTCTCCCTGCTACCTCATCCATTAGCCAATACGACTTTGGTGCCAAAATTAAAGGCTACTGCACCAGGGAGAAGGCTAAAAAGTTTCCGTTCACAGGAGTATAAAACACTTCCCAGCATTCACTTGGAGATGATATTCTTTATGCCTTGATGTTATGATTCACATTGTTGATTTATAGGTATACTAGAGAAGTATTAAACATTTGCAAAGCAAATGTATAATGTTTACCTTCAGACATGGTCTGCCCTGTTAATTTTTACTCAAACATATTCACATACATGTACTACTAGTATTATGGTGACAGGAGCAGAGCAGACCATGAAGTTTGCAACATCATGTAACCCAACACCAGTCACCATGGTGACAGACATCAACAAATCATGTCATTGGCCAGGTCAGAGGTTAGTGTTTGGAGAAGAAGAAGAAGAAATTGAGTAAAAACAATATGTTTTCCTTCGGTAAACATAATGATGAGAGTTGTTTTAACGTCCATTTTCTGTTTTCTGCCAACAGAGGACCGGAAGTTGTTTGTGGGCATGCTCGGAAAACAGCAAACAGAAGAAGATGTGAGAAGGTTATTTGACCCGTTCGGAACAATAGAGGAATGTACCATTCTGAGGGGTCCTGATGGACAAAGTAAAGGTAAGTTTAGAAACTTCCTACATTGTATCTCATAGATATAACCTACAGATACAGGACATAAGGAAAGATACAGGAAGTTTACAGAGAATCTTTATCATCTTTCAAGAAAGATCTATCCTATCACAAAATGACACTATAAATACAATTTTAGGCCTTTTATAGAAAAAAATACAACAATTTCAGCACAAAGGACAGATACTGAAAAGATTTGAGGGAACTTTTGTTATCTTTCAAGAAAGATCTATCACAAAAAGACACTATAAATACAATTTTAGGCCTTTTATAGACAAAATGCAACGATTTCAGCACCAAGGACAGATACTGAAAGATTTGAGGGAACCTTTGTCATCTTTTAAGAAAGATCTTCACAAAAAGACACAATAAATACAATTTTAGGCCTTTTATAGACAAAATGCAATGATTTCAGCACCAAGGACAGACACTGAAAGATTTGAGGGAACCTTTGTCATCTTCCTAGAACGGCTCATCACAAATGGCGTGCACTTTGAGTAGTGTTGAAGGCCTTTCAATGCTCCCCTTATACCTCCTGCCATTAGAGCCGGTGCAAGTGCAAGTATAATACATGGCCTTGTGTAGATGACGGATGGCCTACGCTGCCTGAAACATTACAGTGACAAACGGCTGCACCACTTATCAGCCACTGGGCATCCCCCTGTTTAAAAACCAAGCCAAAGGGAGAGCGTTAAGCACCGGCGGTGGTCCCAGTAGCACCGGGCCGGGCTTCACATCTGGGTGACGGAGTGTGGTGTGATCAAT